CCATTCCAGCAGCTTTTCCATTTTTCTGCCCTTTCACAGCTTGTGTAATTTCGTCTACAGAGATAGTAATATCCGTATCATTCTGCTCTACAGGCGAGTCTTGCTGCGGTTGCGCGGGGTTAAAGAGTTCCTCAAAAAAATCCCTCCGTCGCCGAAAAATGTCATCATCCTTGGTTACACTGAGTCCAGACATGGCCTTCAAGACTCTGAGACTGCCCTTCTTTCATTTCAGAGCCGGTGGATGGTCTGCCAGAATACTTTGTTTGCCGTATGGAAATTACTCCGACATCTCACCGAACTTCTCCCATGAATCAGCTTTCGCTTTCGCCACTGCTTTGGATGCCGCCTTGCGTGCCTCGACATATCGCACGCGAGTAGACGGCTACTTGTTTCCAAGCCATTCGAAGCTCAAACCATCGCACCTGACTTCTCAATCTGAAAAAGCAGTGGCTGTATACCAAGGCTCTTACGGATGTCTGCATTCTGGACCATGCCGACACTCTTTGCATGCACTTGTCCCAGGTTAATGTTGGCCGTCTCCTGGGTCTTCTGCCGATCTGCTGGGCAAGAAGTAGTTCCTTCCGTTCTAGAGACATTCGCAACACATGCCCAAGTCATCGCAGCTGTGACTTCTCAATCTGGAGAAGCAAAGGCTGTATACCAAGGCTCTTTCAGATATCAGTATTCCGGACCATGTTGAGACGCGTATGGCCTGCGACTCGTCTGTAAAAACCCATTTCAGCCGCTTGTACCCGGGATCGAAGTTTTTGAGTTATGGTCCACGAATCATGACAGTAGATAAGCATAGGCATAAAACTCAACTTGAACGCGAGAGCTTAGTTTTCAGACTGAGCTCTGCTTTAGTCAAAAAGGTTCGGGATCGTTCAAGGAGAACGCTACCGGCTATTCCAATTCGCCAGTCGATCTCTTCCTCGAATTTTCCATCACCAGTAAACTCGACTCGGAGCAACTTGAACATCTCCACCTGCTCCATTGCTTCTCCGTTTTTCCAGAGAGAGCAACGGGCAGAAGAACGAGAAAGCATTAGGCTTTTCGATTTACATGCGTTCGCACTCATGCAGGAAGCGTTGCGCTCGGCAGCGAACCGTTCCAGACAGCGCTGTAGAACAGTTTCAGAAGATGGATAATAAAACAAGGCCCTCTGCAAACAGCAGCCTTCCCGTCTCGATAACTACACCGATACCCTCACCGCCTAGGCTGAGCCTGACTATTCTATCGATGTACAACAGACAAAGGATGGGACAGAACGCAGCCTCGACGTAGTGTGCCAACGCTGAAAGGCTTCGATTTAACGCCATTTACCCTGACGCAGCATGTGATATCAGCATACAGTGATAAGATGGCCCGAAGTAACTGACCATTGATCCGATTTGTCTGAAGGCATGCCCACAGACTGTTGCGTGAGATCTGATCAGAGGCTTTCATTATGTCAACAAAGCACATGTACACCAGATGGGCGAACTCTCGAGGCTACTCAACAATCTGACGTAGGTCGAATAGATGGTCAGAA